AAATCTGGGGCAATATCTAAAGAAGGAACAAGAGTTTTCTCATCCTCAGATTCTAAAACTTCAAAAGCAGCAGTCTTGGGGTGTTTCTAATTCATCAAAATCTTCCTCTTCATCACTATCAGTCTTAGATAAACCTAAGATTTCCCCCAAATTTTTCTCTTGACACCAGGTTTCTATCAGACTCAAGGCAGAACATTCTTCTTTTTCTTTCGGGTACCTAAGGGAATTAAAAACATTAAAAGTTACTTGTTGGTCTTGGACTCTCATGGTTAATTCTCCCTTCTGTACATCTATCAAKGTTCTACCAGTAGCTAGGAAAGGTCTCCCTAAAATGATGGGAATGTCCTTGTCGACTTCAAAGTCTAAGATGATAAAATTGGCTGGGAAAATAAACTTATCAACCTAAACTAGAACATCCTCAATCTTTCCTCTGGGATAAGCTATGGACTTATCAGCTAACTGAAGAGTTACAGTTGTAGGTCTAGCTTCACCTATGCCTAGGATATTAAAGACAGATAAAGGCATTAGGTTTATGCTAGCACCTAAGTCACATAGAGCTTTTCCTATCTCTTTTCCTCCAATTGAACAAGGGATTGTAAAACTTCCAGGATCTTTCATCTTAGGAGGAATTTTATTGGACAACAAAGCACTGCACCCTTCAGTCAGAACTACAGTCTCGTATTCAGTCAACTTTTTCTTTTTGCTCAAAATGTCCTTTAAAAACTTTGCATAACTTGGCATCTGCTCAATAGCTTCAACCAAGGGTATGTTTATGTGCAATTGTTTAAAAACATCAAGAAACTTTTTTAAATTGTAATTCTTCCTTTTGATTCCTTAATCTTTGGGGATAAGAAATATAAGGAGTGAATGCAATAGGAGACGTAGTCTTTTGAAGAGTTGGTGCTGGAATCGGTTTCAAAACTGGTCTCACAATTGGTTCTGATTCAGTTCTATCAGGGATTAAAGGACTGGTCTGGTCTTTCATTGCGGGACTGTCACTAGATTATGACACATCCACTACAACACTTTCTTTGGGAGTCTGGGTTGTCTTGGGTTTATCAGGAAATAACAATGGAAAATATGATCTTTCTGGAATGGCCGTACTATCTATGGGCCTGACTGTTGGTTGAGGCTCACTAGTACTCACAGGAATGGTAGTCACAAAATCTGGTACAGATGTAACAGAATCTTGTTCTACACTTTTCTTTTCAATCTCTGCTTTGGTTGGTTCTTTTTGTTCTTTTTGGGTATTTTCTAAATAACTTTTTCCACTCCTTAAAGTAACAACTTTAACATGCTCTTTTTCTTCCCTCTGAGGTATCTCTGTATCACTTGGTAGAGAACTTACTGGTCTTTTTCTAATTTTCAAAGCCATTTGTCTCATTTGGGTTATAAAACCCTTCATCATTGCTTCCAAAGAAGTAGATGACTCAGCTTGCTGTTTGGGCTTGCTTTGGAAAGAAGACTGATCATTCTGAAAATTAGCATGTTGATTATTATGATTGCCTTGATGCGCTTGTGAGTGAAAATTAGATTGGCCTTGTTGAAAATTGAATTGTCCTTGTGGTTGAAAATTGGACTGTCCTTGAGGCTTTTGCATTGGTGGATTAAGAGCTGGACTATGCCACGAAAAATTTGGATGATTTTGCCATCCCGGATTATAAGTCTGTGAAAATGGTCCARTCTTGTTGACATAATTTAYATGCTCCRGATTTCMAGGACACTGCTCAAAAGAGTGACCTTCACCATAGTACACGCATTGTACTGATTGAACATTGGAATTAAAGGTATTAGCATCAGATTGCACATGTGGGCTAGATGTTAAATTTGAAATTAGCTTAGTGATCTGAGCTGTTAATGCCGAGACAACATCTACCTCGTTTATTCCAGCTATTTTCTTCAGTGGCATTGCACGTGGGTCAGACCATTGTCTGTTATTATTAGAAATCTTTTCAAGTATGTCAAAACCTTCATTATAGGTGCAAGCTGTGAAAGCTCTGCCTGCAGTAGCATCGAGCATTTGTCTAGCAACAATATTTAAACCGTTGTAAAATGTCTCCAGCTGTATACAGTATGGAATGCCATGGTGAGGGCATTTTCTTAGCAGCTCTTTATACATTTCCCATGCATCAGGAACTGCTTCATCATCCAGTTGTCTAAAAGTATAGATTTCATTCCAGGACTTAGCATTCCTCGTGGGTGGAAAATACTTTTTCAAAAAGTTTTCTGCCATTTCATTCCATGTAGTCACAGATTCTAGTTGCAAAGAATTGTACCATGCTCTTGCTCGATCCCTTAGTGAAAATGGAAAAAGTTTTAGTCTCAGAGCATCGTCTGAAACATCAGGGATGAGAAAAGAGTCTGTGATTTCCATAAAAGAACGCAAATGAGAATGAGGATCTTCAGAAGATAAACTAGCGTACTGGCCGTTTGTTTTGAAGCATTTGAAACATCAGTGGTTTAAGTGAAAAATGGGTGGCACCAATGGTAGGCTTACGTATCCCTGTGTGTAGTTGAGTTAAATTAGGAATAGCATATGCCATAATGCCACCATTTTTAGCATTTGCAAGATGTTATAACCAGATTTTAGACAACCTGGGTTGAGGTAATTTATACATGTTTATTATGTGGATTACGTGAAATATGCATATCTAAGTAGAAATGCATGAACTATATATGTGAAATGTGAACATGATATTGTGCATGCATATATGTGAAAAGATGGCATGATATGTATGTAATTTATACATATATGCATGTGGTGTG